AGTAGAAATAGCCGTGCAAAGGTCCTGGGGCTCGAAGGAACATGGCATGTCAGAGAGATGGCCAGGGCGTGTGGAGTGGCCTGAGATTAGACCAGGCTTGGCCCCATTATCTGAGCACAGGGGTGCCTCTCAGTGGCTGGGTCTCAGGGCACAAAATGTCAGGAAGCCAGCACTCACTCCCAGTCCTGGCCTGGCCTTTCTCGTGAGACACTGCAGGCTGTCAGCCTGGCCCAGGGATGCTTCTGCGGTGAGCAGAATTGCGTGAGTTTCTGTCCCGGGCAAGTCCAGGCAACAAGCTCAGGGTCTGTGACTTGGTGACAGGACTTGGAGACCAGCTCCTCCGTCTAAGTGAAGAGATAAGAGCAAAAGCAGGAAGTGGGAGGGGGAGGACCGGCCAGAGCACATGCGAGGGGAAGGAAGACGCGGACCAGGAGCCCCGCGAGCCGCAAGTGCCAACTTAACCCTGCCCGGGCGCCGGCTCTGCCTGTGTGGTGTGTCGCTGACTCCCCCCCTGGCCCCGGTACCCCTGGGGTGGGCAAACCCTGCTGCGACAAAGGCTGACGTGGCCGCTGCTGAGGGGCTGCAGGATCCAGGGCCTCGTACCCCCTAGATGTGCGGAGCTGGGTGCAGGATCTGTTCCTGGAAAACCTTGCGTGTGGCCCACGCTGGCCTTGGCTTAGCATCTCTGCTTTCATCTTAACACCCTTGCGTTTCCGCAGACCGGCCCCTCTCCGGGAAAGCCCCACAGCAGCCGCCCGTGCCCCCCCAGAGACCGATGGCCACCCACCCTCCTCCACCGGCCGGCCGGAGCCACACGGTAGGCCTTCTCGCCCTTTCATAGTACTTCGTGTCCACTCCAAAGATTTCCTCTGCCAGAGAGAAAAGCAGACTGCGAACGCCTTCATCTCATTCCAACCAGCGAGACGAGATTATATGTAGGCGGGGAAAGTACATAGCCAAATACTCATAGTGGTTTTCGGAGAGGGTGGGGGTGAAACACGTGATTCGTATTCATGTCATAATGCTTACCACCAGTATTTTCTTTTTACCATAAATGATATCGACTACTTGTATAATAAGAAATCTCTTTCGAGTATGCATTGTGCTATTTGCACTTTTGAAGTCAGTGGAAACTGTAAAATACACTCTAACAGGGCCAAGTTAGGTCGAAGGCACCTACTGGCATGCACACCATGGGTCTCAAGTCGCCTTCTTTCCCACAAGAAGACTTACGCCACCTGCTGGCCAACCTCTGAAATTTTACAGACAAATGCCTTGAGACTACAAGGTTTATTTTACCAAGAGGGGAGGGAGCCCAGGCAAAGAGAGAGGCAGCAACCCTTTTCCTCTTTCTTTACGTTTACGGTTTCAGGTCCTGTGGGTCTAATCTCGAGTTCCCACAGAAGTTCAGGCTAAGGAGTCAATAGCTGGAAATGTGTTCCCTTCATGAGGGACTTGAGCACTTGAACAGCTATGGCAAATGGCTAAGGACCAGGGAGGGGAGGAGGAAGAAGATATATTGTCCCCAAAGCTCAAAATCTAGACCACACCACAGTCAGGACCTCCCACCCAAGAATAGTGCTCCCTCCTGCCTGTGTAGTTTTCTTGCTGAGGAGGCTCATGGAGCTGAATTTATTCACCAAATCATTTTGCTTTTGAGATTTGAAAGCCTTCACCTCCACTATTGGGATGCAGAAATCACTCATTTGAGCAACAGCTATTAACTGAGCAGCTACTGTGTGCCCAGCAGTGTTCTAGAGCGTGAATGAGACAAATAAGGACTCTGCTTTCATAAAGTTTCAATCTGGTTAGGGGTTGGCAAATAATAAACAAGTAAACAGAGGTATAGACAAGATAATTTGAGTAGCAATGTGCAGTTAGGGAGACGGAAGACCCGGTAACATGATGATGGGTGGGGAGGTGATATTGAGCTAGACAATTGTGACAAGAGCTGAGAAAAGGCATTCCCGGCAGATGGAAACGCAACTATAAAGATGCCAAAGAGGACGTGAGCTTGAGATCCTGCAGGAAATGCAGGGAGACATCGATGGGGGAGTCCAGGGGACACTGGAGAGAGGAATAGAAGGAGGGGCTGAAGGGTGGACAGGAGCCAGCCCAGGGAGGGCCTTGCAGGCCTTGGTGAGTTTTTATTGTGTTCCTAACACGATAGGAGCCACGAGGGGTTGGCAGGGGGCTCCCCTCAGATGAGAGAGGGCAGAACAGGGGCTCAGGGAGCAGGCTAGTGTCCTGGTGAGAGACGGAGGTGCGTGTTTGTTTGTGGGCAGAACACGGACATGGAGAAGAGTGAACAGATTCAGACATGTTTGGGGAGATAGAGCCACCAGGGCCTGCTGATCGTGTTGGAGATACTTCCTAACATTTGGATTTTTTTTAAGCAGCCACTTCCCCCGCCCCAGCCCAACCAGGAAGAGCCTAGCAGAAGTAGAAACCACAAAACAGCAAAACGTAAGTACAGGGGTGCTCTCTCTCGCCCACCCGCCAGCTGTACCCCCACTCCCTGCCAACCACTTTCTTCCTTTCACTGACATCGCTTTTTTTTTTTTTTTGCCCCTTCCAGTCCCTGCTCCTTCGATAGACAGAAGCACGAAACCCCCCCTAGATCGTTCATTAGCTCCATTTGACAGAGAACCCTTCACGCCAGGTTGGTTTCATTCATATTTGATACATAATGATAATGGCCAACATTTACAGAGTGTCTCTTGTATGCTTTTCACACGTACCACCTCATTTAACTAATGCCACACTACTACGGAGTGGGGACTCTTAGAATCATCCTCGTTTTACGGATGAGGAAACTGAGACATGAAGAGGTAACTTCCCAAGATCACTCAGCTACCAACTAGAGACCCGAATCCATATCAGCCTGGTGGGGGGCGCCCGCGCTCAGCCCTGTGCTGGGCCTGCTTCTCTACGAGAGCCATCTGTGTACACACATCTCGTTGTCCTCCTGAAGTGATGCAGGAGGCATCGTGGTGAAGAGGGAGGGACCAGGCTGAGACAAGGGGTCTGGGAGACGTGTCGTCAGCCACCTTGGTTGCTACTTAGTGCTGACTACAGGGACCTAACTTTTTCAGAGCTACCTCCTTATTTGTAAGGTGGGTGTTCTGTAAGGACCAAATGCTTTGTAAAACTCTAAGGAGCTATTCAAATGGCAGGTTGTTGTTCCTTGTATGTGTGCAGTAGAGCAGACTATGGGAATATGCCACAGTCCATTCCCCCTAGAACTGACCCAGAGTATTCCCGAATGTCAGTTACCTCCACGTGAAGCTATTCTCAATTCGATGCCAAAACTCAGCTACCCTTTATTGAGCACCTACTATGGGGCCAGTGCTTTACCTACCATAAATAATGTACCTACGTTATCTCTAGTCCTCACACCAACCCGACAAAAAGGGTGTATTATTATCCTCACTTTGCAGATGACGAAACTGAGGCTCAGAGAGTTTGAGTCATTTCCCCAAATTTGTATAACTAGGTGCAGGATTTGAAGCCAGGTCTCTCTCTCTGACTTCAAAGTGGTTGCTCTTTTCCATATCATTCTGCCATCGGAGACCTTATACTTTCCTTGCCGTGGACTAGGGGGTTCTGGGAAAGGTGCTCTGAGCCTTGAGGGATAAGAATCCCAGAGCCCCAGCCCCGCCCCAGCCCTTCCTTAGCTACGCCCCGAGCAAGGCTTTCGCCTTTGTGGATTCAGGGCTGCTGCTTGCTGCTGCTTTTCCTGGACTGGCTTCACAGTTCTGCTGACTCATGCAAAGCCATGTCAGCTACTGTCATTTAGAGTGGTCCACCGCAGAGGGCCATGCGAATTACGTGAAAAATGGAGACAGAGAAATTCAACTTCAGAATCCAGCCCTGTTTACTACCATGAGCCAAAGCCTCAGAAAAGTGGAATACTGACATCAAATCCTTCAGAGTCACCTTCTGAGCAAAAGCTACCCTTCTAAAAGATTTCTAACACCAGCTCTACCCTTGTCTGGGATGTGTTGAGAGAACTAGCCTCTTACGATGCTCAAACTCTTAACAGGAGACTCTTCATGTGCTCAGAGAAGTTGCATAAATCAGCAGATTTTTTAAAAAAGGAAATCTATTCAGGCCTAAAGATATAAATCAAAGTTTTCTGATTATCACCCTAAAGTAGGGGTTCCACCCCAAACCAAAATTTTATGAATAAACATTTTTTATACCATCAAAACTCTGTCCCCCTAGGCAGTGAGCACTTCGCAGTGGGATGAGATTCTTAGGACCTATCCTGGGCCTGGTGTGTACTCAGTCTTTAGAGAATAAATCACGTTGTAAAAATGCAACCCCGGGCACATCCTGTCATCATTCACCTCAGGGAGGTAACTGCACAGGGAAGTGGTAGGGAGGAGAACAAGCAATCTAACATGGATCATGTCTGACCCTACTTACAAATTGTCATCTGATCCCTACAGCAAACCTATGTAGTTTTAACTTATAATCCCCATTTTACAGGTGAGGAAACTGAGACTCAAATACCTTAAATAACTCGGTCAAGGTCCTATGGGTTTTGCTTCTAGAACTGGTTGAATCCACTTAAGTAATACTTTTATTACATTGAAGACCTAGGGCATATCTACGCTAGGGCACTTCAGACAGCATCAAGAATAACTTTGCAATGCAGAGTTCTCAGGTACACCTAGCATCTCTTCAGGAAGCCTGTGTGTTACCTGTTCCAAGAGAGAAATGAAAGAAAGGAAAGGAAGGAAAGGCAAGGAAAGGCAGGCAGGCAGGCAGGCAGGAAGGAAGGAAGGAAGGAAGGAAGGAAGGAAGGAAGGAAGGAAGGAAGGAAGGAAGGAAGAAAAGACCAACAAAAACCAAAACAAAATGATTTGCAGCTCACCAGCAGAATTTCCTGAAACCTTCTTCCTCGAGTTAAAATTTTCTCAGAAAATAAGTGTAATGCTCTATATAATATCAAATGTACCACAGATTAGAGGAAATTTAACCCCTTCAAGGCAAATGGGTTTATTTCAGATACAAAGATTTCAGATACTTAGGCTTTATAAAAAACCTCTTGACCAATGAGAGTGGCGTAAAATCATGAAAGACACTTAATCCTTTTTATCGTCAGCTACGTGAAATAAAAATGTGGAAAAGCAGCACAGAATCCAGAATGCTTTTCTATGTACATAACGCCGTGTGACCTTGGGCAAGTCACTTCATTTCGCTGAGCCTGTGAAATAAGGTGCTCTGTGAGGGACCCACCCAGGTTCTTTAATGCTTAAACCCAGGGCACTCAGGTCACAGTGTCATCAAATTATGTTTTAATCCCTTATGCTTAGCTAATATATTCTAGAATCTTGAATTCTAGTTTTTATCTGCTGTTTGTCGTTGACAGGAAAGAAACCGTTGTTTTCTGACAAGGTAAGCCGTTTTCCTGTTTGGTTGTACTCATTTTTGTTTGGTTTTGCATCTTGCCTTTTTTATTCTTTGAATGGATGAGCTCTGAGGACTCATACCTCTTCCCTCTTTTCTTGCAGCCCTCGCCCCCGGCAGGAAGGTACGTGCTATGTTGGGTCTGTGGGAGAGGACACGGTCTTCTCCATGAAAAAGCAGTTTGTGCCTCACACATCCTTCCTCTCAACCCTGCAGGCCTCTCGGGGACCATTCGTCCAAGATACAAAAGCCTCCTTTACCGCCAACCATGGAAAGGCACGACAGAAGTAGCCCCCTGCCAGGGAAGAAGCCACCTGTACCAAAGTAACTGTCATTTCGCTTGGGTTTGTCATTAAGAGGGGATGGTGCCCAAATCTGCCAACTGGTGGGCTCGCGCAGGAACAGGAAGTTCTGAGTGCTCCCAGGCGGGAGCGGCTCGCTTGCTGCTGTGGCTGGAGGGATGTTCAGGCTCCTTAGGTTGCATGTAAAGTTCCCGGGTCCCTTTGAAGAAAATGGTGATTTAGCCAAGAAAGGAGTGGAGAGATGCTGAATCGGGAGCGTGGGAATGACTGCCCCTCGTGGAGACCTTATTCTCAAGCACTGGAGTTCGTGGCTGCTTCTTCCTTCCATTGCAGTGCATAGGAACTGTATCTGCCAATTTAGTTAATCGTTCTTACAGGTAGCAGAGAGGAAATAATTGGGGGTGGGGGGAGGTGGGTGGGACTAGGTCATTGAAAGTGTCTTTCTCACTGCCAACCACATTTTGTAATGCCACGATACTGAGGTCTACTCTAAATTTGCTAACTTAGCTGTAAAATCTTATGGGGTCTAGTTACAAAATAGCACGAATGTATTCGGAATCAGGCCCAAGCCCGGTACTTGCTAAGGACATAACCAGGGCTTCTGTTTATCTGTGCGATCAGGGTTCATAACTCTGGCCTTGGCTCAGTTAATGTGAAGATTAAATCAGGGCTGGGGTGCACACACACAAAAAAACCCCTCAGTCATCGAGTTACTATTTTAATGAAATATTTTAAAAGATAAAAAATGAAGGTAAAAAAAATTAGGAACACATGATCGGAATTTTAAGTAAACACAGAATGAGATGACATGTGAAGCATCTGATAGGAGCCATTCAACAAATTATCCCCATGTCTCTCTCTCTGAGGAGAACAGGATGGGGACCCAGGCGAACAGCTGCCTGCCACAGCTCTAAGGCAGCTGTCACCAAATCTGTCTGACTAGCTAATGCATCTGGGAAAAGTCGCAAAGCAGCATCATTTTCCAGCTGTCTTCCCTTTACCCGAAGGGTGAGCCAGCCCCAAGATGGCTGTTTTAACACATCAGCAAAGGAGAAGATTACCTAAAATGTTTTCATTTGCTTGGAGAAACATCGACTCAGTGAAATTTAATAGCTACTAAAGAGTTAGTTTGCTGACTAAACCTTTTTTTTTTTTTTTTAACTAGTAATTATTTGCTGCAGGAGCTACACAAAATAAAGGTTTGTGTAGCTCAGCTCACAAGTATGGCCGGGAACTGAGTCACTTAACTCTCTCCGCTGCCTCCCCCTGCTTTTCTGCTGGGGATTTTTTTTTTTTTTTTTTTTTTTTTTTTT